ATAGGAGCTACATGAAATTTGTAAATATTGTTTCGGGTAAGCTCCAACTAATCTTGAACAAAAGAAGTTAGATAGGAGTGTATCCCAAATATAATCTAAGTGTTCATTGTAATCTAATACGAACACAATTCAATGAGCTTGTATTAAAAACAAAAAACAACTAGATATAGAGACTACTTCTCAAATATAATTCGCACTAAGATAGCTACACATTCAAGGGACTTCTACGAGGAAATTCGAGCTACGATCTGTGTTATTTACATTCCGGCCCTTTTGTGGCATAAGAAGGGTCCGAAATTGAACATGTTAGACGGTGTTCCAAAGGGACGTTTCAAGGGAAGCGAGGTTCAAATTCTAAAACTATCTCGAAACAGGGATTCTAGCTATATCGGTTGTATTTAAACGTCTATTTGCACAGGAAGACAAAATTCATTCTATCTCAAAAGGTGGAGGTAGTAGATAAGCAAATGTGGACAGGTAGTTCAAGGGAGGGGGGGGGGTGATCAAGGTGTGTGAACATACCTAGCCTATATATATATATATATATACACATACACATACATACACATATATATATATATATATGTAGTACGCCTCTTCATAAAATTCTGTAAAATACAGTGGTTTTGAGCATGACACCTACCTTTGTTTAGCTCCTGGAAAAGGGTCGACATGAGCATAGCTGACATGAAGCCAACTGCTCACCAAAAGCACTTGAAAGTTTGTGTGATGTGATATGATGCATTGCAATGTATTGTAATGTAATGTAGTGTAGTGTAGTGTAATGCAATGCAATGCAATGTAATGTAATGCAATGCAATGCAATGTAATGCAATGTATTGTAATGCATGCTTGTCTGTATGTACGTATGTACGTATGTAGTATGTGCATAACTTCTGTTTGAAGAATTGCTGGTTCTACCCGCAGGGGTACATGACTCTTGAGCGAAGCACACATCCCGGCGAGCGAAAGCTTGAGCGGCAAATAACTTGGAATCTTGTGCTTCGTGCGCACGAAAGCATTTCTCAATGCTTTAATTCAGTCATAGCTTTCTTCAGGCTAGCCAGAGCCACACGGTCTCCGTAATCTGAGGTAGTCCGACAACCACGCAATAGTGGCCGGAGTTTGGGGACAGAGAAAGGAGCGAGCGAGCGAGTGGCGGCAAGACCATGGTTTCTTCCCAATGAACACACGAGCAAAGGGGAGATTTCCAAGACATGTCAGGGTGGTTGCTTTGTTTGACTTTCTCACAATATTTTACAAATAGGGGACCCTTGCTGCGTACCAACCAACCTTCAAGGGCTTCCCTACTGAATTTCATAGCATCCAATCCGGAAAGCAATGGTAGTCTCCAGTCCATGGCTCACAGTTGGGGTAATCCTTTTGCCACCCTTTTTGAGAGTGTGGCACTTGGGGGCAAACTTCTCATGCTCCAAGGCAACCTTTTCACCCAAGGGCTCAAATACATACCCTTCACTCCCCCTTACATTTGCCCCATGCCTAGAACTAGAAGAATAGGTGGGTAAAGGAATTGGAGGTCGTGGGTCAAAACTAAACCACCAGGGGACCGCAGATTTGAGTCCTTGGTTCCATTTACCAGGCTTCTATTTTGGGTACCCATTTTTGACCTGCAGCCATATATACAACCAGATTCTTTGCTGCCCGTCTTGGAAACCGGGACTCGAAGACTTCGTGATGTCGCGGCCCCGCAGTTTTTGTTGGTTCCCAGGGGCGTGGAGCATCGAATTTCTGCTCTTCGCATCGAGTTTTGAGATGCCGTGCAGCCGGGGCCTCATCCCAAAGGATCCCTGGGGGGGATGTGGACGCGTCGCAAAGCTCTTAGCGATCAAGAACATGCGAATCGCTGCGAAACAGCCCTGGCACGGGGGCAGACGGTTTGGGCCCGCGGCTTGAGGGAAATCATTTCTCTCTCTCTAGGCTCGCGATGCTGCCAGAGTGGAGGAAGTCAGTCAGCCGGCTGGTGCCCAACACACAACACTCTCAATAGCCATGTGGCGGTGGTTGTCAAAACCGTTTTGGGAACCCATTTTGCGGGCGGGTGAATTCACCACCCATTTTAGTCTATGTTGGTGGGGATATGGATGTTCACTGGGGGTACGCGATTTTGACCCATGGCCATGCGTAAACTTGCTCGGCCAGCCAACGCTTTGGGCGTACATGCGCGTACCTAAAGTTTTGTTGGTCACGGAACTACGATTGTGCTCGGCACATTTCTTCAGAAAAGAAATGCGCAACCGTACTACAAGTGAGTTTTTGTTGGTCACGGATCCTGACAATACGGGCTTACACATTTTCTCGAACACTGAACCTTATAACCAAGCTTTTCCAATCCAAGAGCACACCTATCATAGACATCCAGCGCAGGCAAAAGTACCAAACCGAGGCGCAACAGTACTAGGTTTTGATTATTTGACTAAAACTCGTTTCCAGCTGCCTTATCAACTTTGCCTGCCGTGCCCAGGTCAGTGATGTATGCGCGCCTGGTGTTGTCGGACAAGTCCACAGGCACGGAACATTGGGCACCATCACTTTGCATCACTGGCATCACCTGCATCGCTTGCATCACTGCAAGCTTGGAAGCTGACAAGCAAGGCAAAGTTGGCACTTTGTGCCTTGCTGGTGGCTTTTGGCCTGGTGACCGCAGTGGTTGGAACGATGCTGGCAGTTGAGGACATGAGCTCTTCGGCTGCACACTGAGGGTTGGGCCGGGGCTGGGCCGTTGCGCTGTGAAGAGGGTCAGACCTGACTTGAGGCAAAAAGGCACATGCTTGAGTGCGGCAGCCTCCACAAGACCTGGGCTTGTCTGCAAATTTTGTGCGTAGCGTGCAGATCACGAGCCAACCTCATGCCCCTGAGGGTGTAAGTTTCACTCCAGTCTCTTGGGATCCCGTATTCTTGTTTGGCTATATTTGAGCCATACACCATCTACAGAGTATGTCTTTATAACACACACACACAATAGATGTATGCAACGTAATGAAATGTACTGCAATCTAATGTATGTGTGTAATCTATGATATGTTATGTTAGGTTATGTTATGTTATGTACGTGATGAATGATGGTATGTTATGTTATGTAAGTGATGAATGTTATGCTATGTAGTGTATGTACGTGATGCATGTGATGCATGTGAAGTATGCACCGTATGTCATGTATGTAATGTATGCAATATATGTAGTGTAGGACATGTATATAATGCATGTAATGTATGTCATGTATGTCATGTATGTAATGTATGTAATGTATGTAATGTATGTAATGTATGTAATATGTAATGTATGTAATGTATGCAATGTATGCAAAGCACATAGTCTGTAGTGTATGTAGTTTGTGTATGTATGTAATGCAATGCAATGCAATGCAATGCAATGTAATGTACTGTAATGTACCGTAATGTATGTGTGTAGTCTATGTTCTGTTTTGTTAGGTTATGTTATGTTATGTCAGTGATGAATGTCAAGCTATGTTATGTTATGTAAGTGATGAATGGCATGCAATGTTGTATATGTACGTGATGTTATGCTATGTTGTGTATGTACGTGATGCACGTGATGTATGTGCAGTATGTAATGTATGTAACGTATGTAATGTATGTATGTATGTACGTACATACGTAGGTACGTATGTATGTATGTATGCATGTATGTATGTATGTACATACTAATGTAATGTAATGTAATGTAATGTACTGTAATGTAATGTAATGTAATGTAATGTAATGTATGCAATGTATGTATGGAATGTATGTAAGTATGTATGTATGAATGTAATGTAATGTAATGTAGTGTAGTGTAGTGTAGTGTGATGTGATGTAATGTAATGTAATGTAATGCAATGTAATGTAATGTAACGTAATGTATGTATGTAATGTATGTATGTATGTATGTATGTATGTAATGTATGTATGTATGTATGTATGTATGTATGTATGTATGTATGTATGTATGTATGTATGTATGTATGTATGTATGTATGTATGTATGTATGTATGTATGTATGTATGTATGTATGTATGTATGTATGTATGTATGTATGTATGTATGTATGTATGTATGTATGTATGTATGTATGTATGTATGTATGTATGTATGTATGTATGTATGTATGTATGTATGTATGTATGTATGTATGTATGTATGTATGTATGTATGTATGTATGTATGTATGTATGTATGTATGTATGTATGTATGTATGTATGTATGTATGTATGTATGTATGTATGTATGTATGTATGTATGTATGTATGTATGTATGTATGTATGTATGTATGTATGTATGTATGTATGTATGTATGTATGTATGTATGTATGTATGTATGTAATGTATGTAATGTATGTAATGTATGTATGTATGTATGTATGTATGTATGTATGTATGTATGTATGTATGTATGTATGTATGTATGTATGTATGTATGTATGTATGTATGTATGTATGTATGTATGTATGTATGTATGTATGTATGTATGTATGTATGTATGTATGTATGTATGTATGTATGTATGTATGTATGTATGTATGTATGTATGTATGT